CCACAGAGGAGACATAGTTTTCACCAAGCCTAAGCACTGACTGGAAGAAGGGTTATGGAGGCGCCGGCAAGTGCTACGCACCCTCCGCCCACTCCCCAGCCCTGTAAGTCAGGGCAAAAAATGTCGTATGATTGCGGAGTCGTTGCATCATTTACTGTCTCAGGACGGAAAGACCGACTGAGAAGGCAAGGTAGGCTTGGCACCGCCCATATGACGAGCGTGGAACTCGGTTTTAACCAGTACAGAGTTGGGCGGCATGTTCGTTGTGTGAGATAGGAACGCCACAGCCAATCAGTTTACAGAAAGGTCTTTTCCAGTGACACTGATGTTACCCTTTCTTCGTTTTCCAGCTTTTTTTCTACCAGTTCAATTCCTGACTGTCAGTTGTAATAAATCAAATTGGCGACTAGTGGTTACCAGTCATCTGAGACTTTCTTACGTTCGCTGTGACAACCGACGAAATTCGGCTCGTTTCAGCGAAATCGACTCCGAACGTTTCTGCTCATTCAGTTGCCGCTCTGAAACGCCGAGTTCATGCTTCGAGGCCACCTACTCCAGTTATACATAACGAGGTATGTCATAGATCTTTCGAAGGTCAGAAGAAGGAAACGCGGAAGTTCTCTCGCAACTCGGCCTATTGCAATTAGAACGCAAAACGTATTACACTCGTAGTCTTACGGGGTTTCCACAGAGAATCTCAAAGCAGGTCAAGCATAAATGTGCTTAACGGATATGAAGAAGGAGGGATATAAAACAGGAACATACACATGCACTTTGAACCCGCTCATCGGTTGATATTTCGGCTGGTACGAGGCACATTTCGACGCTTGTTCTATGCCATTCCACAAAATTCACCCAAGCAACGTGTCTCGGTGGCGAGATAGGCTGCAACTTCAAACAATGCTACGGTGACCCGCAGTTTCAAGGGGGGGGGGGTAAGCTCCGAGGTAGTGGAAATGGACTATCTGTAAGAAATGGGAATGTCTTATTTGTCAAAATTCGGAATTTGTTAGGATTAGCCATCCCAGGTTCCTCAAAATTGCTGGCTACTATGGCTAATGACACGCACAATTGCAAACGACCCCTTCAACCCCCTCCCCTTGAGGCACATTTGCCAGCAGGAAGCTGGAGGCACATTTCCCCTCATTTTTTTGGCAGAGCTCCACATGGTGAACACGAAAAATATACTGAGAAGCCAAAAATGCCTTCTGCTTCACTCTTCTACTTGGTTCTTCTGCTCTCTAGGTAGTCGTGGAGTCTGTAACCCCCGAGGCCCAGGAGATATTGTTTCTATTAGGGGGGGGGACTCTTCGAGGAAAGTTTATTGTATCAAAGATCTATTTTCTGCATGGCGCATGACCCTACTCTGGGAGTTTTCAAGGGCGTTCTGCAAAGGTGCTGTCCGAATTAGCGATTTTCTCCAAGTAGCCCATGCGCCACACTTACAGTCATCATTTTATTCGCCGAATATGACCGCACCATTACCTGATTAAAGGCAAACCCGTGATCGCAAGTTGTGGATAGTTGGGTTCAATTACAGGCCTGTAGTTGCTAAATGACTCTTCATGGAAAGGAAAGAGGAAAAAAAACTTTGAAGACAGCCTGAGGCCCCTGGCAGCCTCAGTGTACGAGTTACCCTCACCGGTTTCATGGCAGCTGAGCGATATCCTGCCGCCTCTGGCTCACTAATCGTTTCTTCGCGTCATCCAATGCTAATACCATCTAACAGTGAAAAAAAAAAAAAAACACGGTGTAAAAACTGAACTCGTGACAGAAAATAGCCTTCGAGTTTGGTGGGCGGGACAACTAGGAGGCGTCAGAACTGCCACTTATGAGGCCACAGCGCCTTCGTTACTTACTATGAAGCAGCGGAAAAAGACCAATCTTAGAGGCTGAGGGCTGGAACAAGAAAGGACGTCTATGAATTGGTTGAAGGCGGGGCTGTCTTTACAAACGTATTTTTTTCGAAGGAAGTGTGTCGCATGTTGACCGTAGCACATCCGCTTCTATCATTTTTTTCAGGACCCATCGGTCATGTTCCCGGTGATGGATGAGTCCGAAAGAGATTTTCTCCAAGCTGCTGTACGACTTACTTATTCGACTGATGACGACGACAGGTGGCTATTTCTATTTATGAGTAAGCTTGCGTTAGATGAGGGCGCAAGCCTTCTATCCACAAGCTCAGAGGCAAGAGATCGTCTGGTGAACGTCACGTTGAACCGTTTCAGTGCTCCATCTTCACCTTCTGGCGGGCATCTATCTGTTGAAAAATCGTGTTTTCTCTCATCACCAACAGTTGACAGCGGTCGACCAAACAGCGACGACGAGGACAGAAGGTCAGTCAGTCTCTAGGGAGATCACACAGCGTTCAGCATTAACTTTTTATTTTCAGAACCCAACCTTGTTCAACAAAGTCCCTTGATGACGGTTTCTTCGACTCAAGCCTAGTAAAAAAAGATGAAGAAACCTCGTCCGAAGCGCTCACCTCCATATCAAATTTGCAAAAGGAGGCTGGCGACTATGCTACAGAAGAAGGTACGTTCTTTCTATCCTTTCAGGACTGAGAGAGGCCTAAACAAGGGAGCGGGTGTGGAGGTGCTCGTACATAGAGTTCTTATGGTAGTGATTCGGCCACACACTTTATATCCCGTTAACGCGGTAGGCGTGGCTACGTACTTCCTTTGAGCATGGATAGC